TCTCTCTCTCTCTCTCTCTCTCTCTCTCTCTCTCTCTCTCTCTGTCTTTCTCGCCCGTACATTCTACACGGAGTTACGTATTTGGTGTCCGCTGGCTCTGACATTGTGCGGTAGAAATCCGTCGAGCGAACAGCGGCGATTTTTCACGCGGTCGACGCGGGCTCGTTTCGCCGTGGCGCGTAGTATAAGGAAATCGATGTCCCCGTAACCCAGACTTATCGGACGCGTAACAGTTTTCACTGCGAGATCCGAGCCTCGGGCGAATCTATCTGGTACTTGAGTCGTTTTGTCAATAGTGGCATCATTTGTGCCATTGACGTCTGGCATCTCGTGCGCGCGCGTGGTTACTCGTTCGATCTTGAGTTTAATTTTCATACGCGTGCACCAACACGTGCGCGAACACGATCTCGCTGCTGGCCGCGCGCTCTCAACGAAGATTCATCGCGGTAATTTCATCCACCTCTTACTACGGGACCGGCCTCTTGTTATCGCCTGTCTCTTATAACGTACGCGTGCCGAGGCGACCATAAGTGAGCTCGAACGACAGTGGCCGCATTTTAAAATAGAATTACGGCGATAATACGTCGGTGCGTTAATTCCGGCGAATTTTCCTGAAATACCGGAAGCCGTCTCATTAAAAGCATTTTCATATTTTACACATGTCAATTTATCATTAATGCATTCTGCTCCATTAATGGTGGTTAGTATTAACGCGACGGCATTTAATAATTTCATATGCTCGCGGCCACTAACTGCTCGGATTATCGGGAATAATACAATTGTTCCGCGCTCACAATTGACTCTGCGTGCGCTCCGACGCGGTTTCCGCGTTATTCCCGAATCGAGAGCATTCTTTAGCGCATCCTTATTAGAGCTTTTCCGATTTTCCGCGGTAATTTCCAGCCGATGGCCGCACGTGTCTGGTCTCAAATCACGCTAACCCCGGGTAGCCCAGTTCCAGGAGTCGAGAGCGTCCCGAGACTCACAGACTCGTTATGAAATCTCCATAGTAAACGAGTGCTGTCCTGCCTCGTTATTAAAATGCCGACATCGAAACGAAGCGGCCAACGCGGCGGGAAGAAAACCACAGCATCTCAAGTGCACGCTACACTTGCCTAATCGCGCGACCGCAAACAGCGACGTTACGGCCTTTGCTGCGCAAAGCCCCGGCAAATTTCGCACGATAATTACACGATGCGGACGCGGCCGACCCGCCGGATTTCTTTCAGACGTGAATTATGATATCCTAATACACGGCGAGTCGGTTTCGAGCGATTTCGCAATGCGATTCCGCGCGCGAGCAGAGACGCGACAGAGAAAGAGAGAGGAGTGGGGGAAGCGCCGACTAATTAACGCGTAATTAGCGCTGGTGCTATTAATTTGATTTGCAACGGTGCCGGGGACAGGGAACGGAGAATATCACCGGGCATCACGTCGCGCGTTATTGCGTACGTGAAATTGTGGTGACAGACGGCGAAAAAACGAATCGCGCAAAAATACCCTCCGCAATTCGCTAGGCGTTTGAAAGCGACGCACGTGCGTCGCGAGACCGCAACGATCGTCGCACGGCTTTAATAATATCGACGCGGTTATCAATTACGCGTTGCGTGTGCGGCAATTACGTTAAATAGTGGCGACGACAAAACGTAATCTCGTCACGCGTAACAGGTGTGCTGCCACTTGTCGGCGGTCGACGATTTTCACACGCACTTAGCCGATTAAACGAGCGCGACTCTCTTTTTTTTCCCCCGCGAATTCTGTTGTCATGTCCAACGATATTGGACTGTTACACAGCGCGCAATGTTACGGCAGCGATTTCTTCATTTCGCCTGAATTCACTTCTCAAACCGTGACCCGGCCTATCCGCCTGTGCTCCCGAGTACGTGCTGAATCTTTATTTAATTCGACTTAATTGGAATCGGGTTTCTGCAATCAAGGTGATCCCCTTCTCGCCTTGTCTCGTAACGAGAATTTCTCTCTCACGCGATTATTTTCGCGATTTGACGTATCTATCGTGAGACTCGAGAAAATTTTCCCGCCGTGTGTACGCACCATTTCCTATAAGAGGAATCTTCAGAGACACGAGTTTGCGAAACTAATGATTTATGGGCGCGGGAATTCGCGCGAGATCTAGAATTTGCGGAAACGGCCGGCATCGTGCGGAATTGAGACCGCGGGGTAGCCGAAAATTTATGCTGTCAGAATTTCCGTGGAAAAATCAGTAGCTATCGATGCGGCAGATGAAATATGTAGCTGACGTCCCGGGGAAATCAAGAGTCCACGGCGTTCTATCAGCGTTCTATCTACGAGACGAGCAAACGCGCGCGCGCGGAGGAGGAGAACGGCTAGATTTTCGGAATACGTAGGTATCGACGGTTGTCGCGATAGATCTCGCGATACCAGCGTACTCGTGCGTTACGGGAGAGCGAGAAAGAAGAACGCTAACGTGTCTCTGACGTGAACACACGTAGAAGCAGGCACATGTCTGCGTCGCGGTGTACCTACACGTTCGTCTAGCCGGCGCGCGACTTTCACCTTTCACCTCGCTCGAGCACGATTCCACTGTTGACTTCTCGAACTCTTACCCCACCGATACATCGATCCGCAGCATCGGATGCAGCCGTGGCCGATCGTACGAGCAGCTAGCAACGAGACGGCCAAAAGGCGCGTCACGATTCAGTTTCACTAGCGCGCATAAAACTGAAGCGATGGAAAGCACCCGTGCGCGGAGATGTACGACGCGCTCTCCCGCTTCCCGCAAAGTGTACCACATCGGGTTAACTGAAAGTGACCGTAAGATCGAACACGACCGTGACGGGATGATGACACTCGCCGGAACATACCGGAAAAGTCTGCTTGAGTTCGACTTCGAATCGCGCGCTCTGTATCGAGCATATCGAATATTTCGCAACAAGGAATAATTCGCGAGCGCTTAATCACATATCTGCCCGATATTGACTGCACGATTGATCCCATATTGAGAGAATATTATAGCCTTTTTTGTAGAAATTTTGTTTCTATTTTACTATGTTTCTATTAGACCAGAAATAAACTGTCACTAAAATCTATTTTGCTAAAGAACGCAATAAATTTCGTCAGTAACACGCAAGTATTTTAATAGCACGTTTAAATTCCTAAAATATTAATAGCACGTGTATTGAAAAAAGAATATTTGATATTCTTAGCTATAATCACGTAGAGAAATAATTATTACAATCAATTATAGTAAAAAAAATTATTTCTTTATTAAATTCTACTATAATGTTGGTGATAACGACCTTATATGCATGGTACTATTCTTAATTTACTACAGAAAATATGCTTGAGATTAAACTATAATTTTAGTATAATTAATAATTTTTTTCTCTCAATGTATAAAATGAAAAGATAATAAATTACTGCAGAATTACTGTCGACCTATTTCTCAGCTACAAACTCCATAGCAATTTTTACTACAAAATTCTCTCCGTGCGCGCGTGATTAATTACGTATGTAATTACGTAATTGGAGTAATTATTTCAAAACGTTAATTAGTGCAATATTTGAGTTAAACGTTAAATTTCTTATCGTATTTCGATATCAATAACTCCACTGTACCGGTTTCGCCTACAATGTGCCAGACTCGCCTCGAGAAAATACACGTCTCCGTTCTACTTCTACTATCGTATCTCCATCTGCAGAGAATATGACATTGTTTCGTGCGGAGAGAACGCGGATAAACATGCGAACGAGACTCTATATTTAAAGCCGGATTCACAACGATCACGGACGCTATAATATTAATGAAGAGCATCTAATCCGTGAAAGGATACAATCTTATCTACACAGAAGAATGTTCCTCAGCAACATTTGTATGACCAAAAATATGTGATTAAGCGCTCGTGAATGTACCCATAAATTATCTCCCAACGAGATAGCCTGGAATTATGAGACGTGTGAGATGAGACGCGATTATGCCGTTCGTAATCCGTCCTGACGAAACGCTCGCCATCGTTGTTGCCGTACGTGAGAATAAGTAAGAACAATAATGGAAACGGCGCGTCGCGCAGCTCCAAGTAAAAAGATATTTTAGCGATCGCGATCTGAGATTGAAGACGACCGTCCGTTACTCGCACGCTAAATTTTCCGCTAAAACTCTGTCGACACATAATTGTGCGATTTCATTATTCTTTTTTTTGTCTTTCTACAACGATTAATTTCGTCAACACACCGCGGAGAATACGCTGGTTGCCCGGACCTTGAAGATTAACGAGCCAATCGCAGCCTGCCGGTAGGACAATTACCCGGTACAGTCATCGCTTGCCGAAATAATTTCGCAGCTAATTTTCACCGTTGAGTTTCGTACGCGAAGCCTTCACTGGCCATCACAGTCCAATTAGAAATCTAAAATATCCTTCGGCTATCCAGCTTTCGAAATTTGGATGAAAACAGTTAAATTACGTTTCCACAGCTCGCGCGCGCACGGAGACCTTGAAAGGTAGCGCACAATGCGTTAGCTGAATGTGTGCACATAATGCATTAGAGCACGATTTTATAACGCCGACGTTTTTCGTGCGCATTACCCCGGAAACCCAGACCTTGAGGAGAAATCACGACGTGCGCGGGCGCGCGTGTTCTCGCTCCTCTGTTCACAATAATAAGTCATCTCGCCTGCACAGTGACGTCAACTGTCCAAAGCTGCGATCACGGCCATAGATTTCATAATGATCACTTTCTACTTTCGAGCGGCCTACCGCGGCGTCCGCGACTCATCATTCTTGACTACATCTTGTATATCGAGACCCGTGTCGATGACACTTGACCCGCGCGGCACGAACGCGATTTCGCGAGTTGATTATATTGTCGAAGAAATTCCGCTCGAAATCGAGAGTATCGGCGAGATGGGAACATCGTATTGACTAAGGTAATTTTGCAGGCGAAGGATGAGGCTGATTGCGACGATCCTCGTCGTCGCTTTCTCGGGCGCAACGGTGGGTCAAGATTTCGGTGGTCATGCCCTGTTCATCAGGACCGCGGACGCAAATGCGGGTAAGGAAAAAGCAAATAAAAGAAAGTGCAAAAGAGAGGACCCTACGAGAGTCCGCCTTGAGCGCGTTCGACGAGATCGGAGAGAAACGATACGAATTGTTGGCGATGATAAGACTTGATGACAAACAAATGGTTTAAAATTCGTTAGCACGCTCGAGAGTCCCGCGAGCTGCCCCAGCATCGCCGGCAGACGTGATGGCGCAAAATATCCTAGAGTGGATTCAGGGGATCTACCAGCAAGGCGCACGTAAAAGTAGGTTCCGCTTTCAGCCGTCGAGAGGAAACGGCGCAATGCGAAGCCGTCCCATCGCCACGCGCGTACACATGTACATCATCGAGTAACGTGCATTCTTTTCACGGCGATCGGTTTTAGCTATCTGACGTCGCGCGCTCTGATTTATAGACGGTTCAGTGACGCGCCGACAGTCAAGGGGACGCTACCACGGACGTAGATGCGAATTCTATGTGCGCAAAAGCTGCGACTATGCGCAGCCCAACGCCGACGCGTCCCATTTATACGCAGGACGCGCAAAATTATTAATCCATTTCGCCGCGCTATTCATCAATCATTTCACCGTGACGTCGTGGGCGTCACGGAAGTCTCTTCATGTTCATGACGCTGGGATTGGCTTTAGTGCACGCTTGATCCGTTCGACAGCGAGCCATTTTCATTGCACGATGCACCAGTCAAATCTATTAACTGTGCAGCACATGCACTTCACACTCTCTTCTTCTATTTCAATTTCTTTTTTTTTAATTATTATTAGAGAAGTGATCTTTTCTCAATTGTTATTGCGAGGAAAATTACTCGCAGACTAAATCATTTGTATCCATAAGGATCCACTACCAATGATTTCTCAGCCTCGACTAGCACACATGTTCTTACAGCTCGCCAGCAATCGGAGTCGAACGGGTACTTGCCGCCATACAGCACCCAGCGACCGCCCGAGAAACCCCGACCCTTCCAACCAGCCCCTCAACAACCGAGTTACCCGTCACCCAGCCAAAACGACGTGACGAGCTTCCCCGTTCAGAGGCCGTCGTCGCTCTACACCCCACCAAACCTCGGGCAACCCTCGTTCTCTACCTCGCGGCCGGCCTATCCCGGTAGCCAACAACCTTCATCTACGTACGCGCCGCAAAATTTCGGCGCCTCTACGTCCTACAATCCTCGACCGAGCCAGCCCTCGTATACGAACACAGGCTCGTCGGCTTTTCCGCCGCTAAATTCGCCGGACACATCGACCACTTACCTTCCGCCACAGCCGCCGTCGTCTTTCCCCTCGTCGACCAGCCAAAGACCGCCTCTGAGCAGTTCCACGGTTGTCGCCGGATTGCCGGGTGGATTCTCGCCTAGCGGTTTCCAAACTTCCGCCGGTATCGGCACCACCTCGGGAGGATACGCCTCTGCAAATGCCGCAGCAGGTAGTACCAGTGGAACTTTGATACCGCCGATTACAGGATACTCACCACCGGCTGGCTTTTCCACGTCGTACGGCTACCCGTCGGAACGACCAACTCCCAGCTTCCCCACTCCCGGCGAGAGCAGCACCGGTGCAGGTTATCCTAGTGTTAGTTATCCGGGTACGAGATATCCGTCTACTTCAACTACTGGATATGTGTCTTCTACACTACAACCGTCTCCGCCTTTCATAACTGGTGAAACAGGACCAAGTGGCGAAGGTACTACGGGTATCGGTATCGGTACAGGAGCTTCAGGAACCTCAGAAACTGTCGGAACTGGAGTGGGTACTACTGGAAGCGGAAACAGTACGTTGCAATTATTATATTACATTGATAAGACATGATATGCAAGAGAATAATTGGTAATTTTATTCGTTAAGCTATCGAAGACGAAGATCTCAAACACCCTCCGCATATTCACAATCTCGATGTCGTGTGCAGTAAGACTATGATGACAATCAATATCGAATTCAACCGCGTTTTCGACGGCGTTATCTATTCCAAGGTAAATACGAGACTTCTCGAACGAAATTATGCCTTGAATTTCATCAATAATAATGCATCGACTCAATCTCAGGGATACTATATGAACCCGGAATGCAGATACGTAGCACAGAATTCAGGTCAGACAACGTATTCTTTCACCGTGAGTTTGGACTCTTGTGGAACTCAATTCATCAACGACTTCGAAGGTGAAGCTGGCCAAGCGTACTTGGAGAACGTTCTCGTGTTGCAGGTCGATATCGCGTTATATAAATTAACAAGTCTACTTTTCTAATTTGTCTTTGAATGAAAAATTATGTTTGATCAACAGACATCGATATCAAAAAATTCTATTTCAGAATGAACCGGGTATACAAGAAGTTTGGGATACAGTGCGACGAGTGCGTTGCTTATGGGAAGGAAACATCAACAAAGCCCTAACAGTTAATTTCTCTGTGGACATGTTGAACCAGGAGATTGTTACTTTCAGCGGCGACACGGCTACGGCTAAGTTAGACATTCAAATCGGCAGAGGACCCTTCGCACCAGCAGCCGATGGACTCGTGAAGATTGGAGAAACGATGACCCTGGTCGTCTCCGTGGAAGGCGACCCAGGCTTCGACCTTCAAGTACGCACGTTGAATATTATATTCGTCCTAAAATAATTTTTGCAATAAAATTACATTCATCAATGCTAAAGTAAATAATATATAAGTATGATTAATTAAGCATACAAAAGTAATTACGAGTTCACTTTTCAATATGTTAATTTTTTAAGATTGCATAACTTAGCAAAGAATTTAGATAGCAAGCAACAAAATTCGAATTCAAAAAATGATGTTGAATAATGTACAATTGTTTTCAAGGTGCGCGACTGTGTGGCACGAGACGAAGCATCCACCAACATGCTGCACCTCACCGACGAAAGAGGCTGCATTCTGAAACCAAAGTTGTTTGGTGCCTTCCAAAAGACAAACGATACTGGAAACACAGGCGCTTCTATTATCGCTTACGCGTTTTTCCAAGCTTTCAAATTCCCTGACGTCATGGATCTATTCATCGAATGTAACGTCGAACTTTGCAAGACGGATTGCGAGTCTTGCCCAGAAATAAACCAAGTAAGATATTACAGACGTTACTCAACTTAGCACTTCGTCTAATCAATGAATTTAATGTATAACATATTTTAAAAATTGTATCTAACTTTTCACAGTGTATATATATATAAATTAATTAATTAGAACACGCTATATACAAAAATTTCTTAAATGGTTTTATGTGATTTGTGCGTTTAAATAGTATCTACTAGAAAATTAAGAATAATTTATTTTAAAATAAAGCTATATCCCAATTGCGTAGAATTATTTTCAATATAATTCTACGCAATTGGGATATAGCTTTATTTTAAAG